CCCAATCTCTTTAATCTCTGCAGCAATGCTAACAGCACTCCTACGCTGATCTTTCAAAGAAAGCATTTGGATGTGACACTCAGCACGTGTGCTCAGCTTCTTTGGACGACCTACCTGAGGCCTGTTCTGAGTGGACCCTGCTCTTTTAAAATGCTGGATGATCTTAGCAACTATGCTGCAGCTCAGTTTCAGGGTGTTGGCAATCTTCTTGTAGCCTTGGCCATCTTTATGTAGTGCAACAATATGTTTAAGATCCTCAGAGAGTTCTTTGCCACGTGGTGCCATGTTGGAACTTTCAGTGACCGGTAAGAGAGAGTGTTAGAGCTGCACTACAAATTTGAATACACCTGCTCCCCATGAACACATGGGCATAGTTACACTAATGAGTCACATGACATTTGGAGGGAAAATGAAAAGCAGTACTCAATTTAGACATTTAGGGTGTACTCACTTTTAGGGGTGTCACTTTTGTTGCCAGGGATTTAGCTTTTAATGGCTATATTTTGAGTTATTTTGAGGGGAAAGAAATTAACTCTGTTATATATGCTGCAGACAGACTACTTTTCATTGTGTCAAAAGGTAATTTTTTCAGTGCTGTCCCATGAAGAGATATACTTAAATATTTGAAGAAATGTGAGGGGTGTACTCACTTTTGTGATACACTGTATATATATATATATATATATATATATATATATATATATATATATTATGAAATGGACAAAGTCCGACAATTATTTTAAGACATTTTTATGTTTCTACATTCTTTGTATAGATACAAATATTTAAGTAAATGCTCTGTTTTATAATAAACAGTATTAAACAACATTTACTGCCCTGAATGTCTGAGAAATATTCATAGATAAAATTTTCGAAGGATGAATATTTTCTATGAAAATTTCTCGGACATTCAGGCCGGTAAATGTTGTTTAATACTGTTTATTATAAAACAGAGCATTTACTTAAATATTTGTATCTATAAAAAGAATGTATAAATATAAAAATGTCTTAAAATATATATTTATGTATGTGTGTGTGTGTCATGGAAGATCAATAAGTCCGTAATCTGACACAGTCATTAGCTGAATATTTATCTGAAATTTTCATTGTATAATTTTCAATCTATGTTTTTTATGGAGACATGTTGGTTTTGGTGCACTGACACCAAAAGAGACTGCATTGAAAAATAAGTATTTGTTGTGCATTTTACAAAAAAAAGAAACATTTATTTTAAATGCTTTTTTTCGTCATTAGGCTACTGACTTATTGATGTACATATAATATATAATTCATATTCTGTATTAAAATAAATGTATATTAAGGACACCAAGGGCGCTTACTGAAAATTTTTGTATTTAATGTAATTTCATATCAATGATTTCAGTTAGAAAGAAGACTTTACAGCACTGAGAGCTCTATGTATGTAGCCAACAAACATCTATAAATCATGGCATTTTGAGGCTACTATTTTGTAAGTCAACAACTTCAATGTTTTTTTTTTTTAATCTGTACTTGTCAAAACAACATTTGTTGTATTAGTCTCAATATTTTGCTTCTCTTTTGAAGCATCATCACTTAACATCAGTTGGCTTGGCTCTTTCTGCTTTCTCTGCCTTCCTTCTTGAAGAGCTCCACTTCCATTGCTGTTATTGCTACTACCTCTGTTTCCACTATCTTGGCTCTGATCCCTGCTCTTTGAGGCAACATTTTTTTCCTCTTCTAACATAGCCAACTTAGAAGCAACTGGAAAATTTTGTGATAAGTTATAGTTTTCCCAACTCTGGCTTATTTGAGCTAGATATATTGGATTTATTAAAGTTGGTGGAACATGAGGGTACCTTAGAGCAGATGGTGGAACAAAGGAAGGGAATTCTTGCTGGAGTTCCTGTAAGCTAAAATTGGTACCATTGAAGTGAGCAGTTGGAGCTTTTAATGAAGAGTTTGAATTAGCCAATTCTTGGGATACATGAGACTGAAATGATTTTGAAGGAAGAGAAGATGATTGTTGTTTGGCTGATGACAATGGTAGAACTCTTTCAAAATCTCTATCAGCCTTCTCATTGGTTTCATCAAATCCTGCCTCATTTTCACATTCGTCTTGTCTCTCCATCGGTTCATATTCTGGGTTAATACCAGTTCCAGAAAAGTTCAGTCTTTGTGGAAACATTTGTTTTTTGTTACGCATTGCAAGTGTCGAGGCAGAGGTAATGCTGTCAGATGTCTTTGGATAAACCCGTCCCTGTTCAGCCATTGCTTCCACCTCAGCTATTGAATGTGTTCGAATATGGTTTTCCAAATTTGTTTGCTGACTGAATGTCTTGTAGCAAATTGTACACTCAAAGGGCTTTTCCCCTGTATGAGTCCTCATATGATTCTTTAAATTAGTCTTGTTTGAGAAGGCCTTGTGGCACTCAAGGCATTTGTAGGGTTTGTCACCAGAGTGAGTTCGCTCATGATTACGCAAGTTAGTCACCTGACTGAATGCCTTTGAACACAGAGCACACTTAAATGGCCTCTCACCTGTATGGATTCGTTCATGGTTTCGCAGGTTGGTTTGCTGTGCAAATGCCTTTGAACACATTGCACATTGAAAGGGTTTCTCTCCAGTATGAGTTCGTTGATGGATTTTGAGGTTAGTGCGCTCTGAAAATGTTTTCAGACACGTGGCACAGGTGAAGGGTTTCTCTCCTGTGTGAACTCGTTCATGGTTGCGTAAATCTGTTGGTTGGCAGAAGGTCTTTGGGCACATAGAGCAGGCGAATGGCTTTTGCCCGGAGTGAGTCCATTCATGATTGCGGAGGTTAGTCACTTGGCTAAAAGCTTTTCCACAAACTGGACATTTAAAAGGTTTCTCCCCACTGTGGACACGTTCATGATTCTTGAGGTTAGTTCGCTGAGCAAATGCTTTGCCACACTCTAAGCATGAGTAAGGTTTCTCTCCAGTGTGTGTTCGCTGATGATTTTTTAATGTGGTTCTCTGAGAGAACGTCTTGAAGCAGTCAGAACAAGTGTATGGTTTCTCTCCTGTGTGTGTTCGTATATGGTTGTTTAGATTGATGCGTTGGTTGAATGACTTAGGGCACAAAGTGCATTTAAATGGCCGTTCTTGGCTTGTAAAAGATGCCAATGTTGACAAGGATGGTTTAAGAGATGAGGGTTCAAATGATAAACCTAAAGGTAAGGATGATGAGGAAGAAACTACATGTGGTTTTGCCTGGTTACTCTTGTTATCTTGACTCTCCAGACTCGCTGATTGTGGTTCTTGGGAATTTTTGGTCTGTTCTCCAGTTTCATCACTTCTTATACTGTAGTCACTAGCAAGTGTCACTGCCTTTGTAGATGTTTTTTCATTACTGCTATTACTATTGTTATAGAAATGTTGACTGTTAATGTAGGCTGGTTTATAAAAACCATGAGAATAAGGACCAAGATGGCCATTTGAAACGTTCCAGTAATAATTTGATGGATAATTTTTTTCTAAAAAGGCAAGCTGCTTGTTCATACTGTAAGGGGATTGGTAAGGATACATAATGGTCACTAAAAGTTACAACATATGGAACTATTAATAAAAAAAAAAGACTGAAGAATATCTAGAAACAGAATGATTCTAATATTCTTAGATAAAATAAATTGTCATGCACCCCATTAAAAATATAAAATAAAAAAAATCAGAGGATATTATTATTATTATTATTATTTATAGGAAATAATTTGAAATTTCAAACAGAATGATTCTAATGTTCTTAGATATAATAATTTGTCTCACCCCCATTAAAAAAAGAAATATTTATTATTATTAATTATAAGAAATACATTGAAATTTCAAACAAAATGATTCTAATGTTCTTAGATATAATAATTTGTCTTGCCCTCATTAAAAAAAAAGAAAAAAAAATTATTATTATTATTATTATTATTATTTATAGGAAATACATTGAAATTTCAAACAAAATGATACTAATGTTCTTAGGTAAAATAGTTTGTCTTGCCCACTTCAAAAAACAGAAAATATTTCTCATTTTTAATATGGAAGCTTGAAAATTCAATTTGAATCATTTTATCTTCTTTTTAATTCTTCATGGTAGCAACTAAACCAATGATAAATTTATTTAGAAGTTCATTTTAAAATGCTTGATAAATAGACAATTAAAAATAGTATGGTATATGTAAAGATTTAAAATAGGATACTTTAATACTAACAATCTTCATGTCTCAAAAGATTTTTATAGCTTATCCTAATGATTATCATATACTATAAACTTTATATTATTTGTCAATATTACATTCTGTAAATGCCATTTTACTTGGTTGCTGTCTATGCCTGAATTGTAAATCTACAAATATTTGTTTCTTCATTTGTATAGTTGGTATGTTCATAAGATGTTTCCCCTTTTTGGTTTTTTAAAATAATTTTATTTTCTATGATACTGAAAAGAATGCTACACTTTGTTCATAAAAATGAAGCAAGGGTGAGTTTTAAATCTTCATTTCTTTTTAATGTATTTACTGAGGTCTCTACATCAGAAAAATAATTTGTATTATTTGGATATTTGATTTTTAGAAACGAAAAGAAGCTGTAGCTTTATTTTTTATTTTTTTTATGAGTTGATATGTTATTCTAAGATGTAAGTTAGAAATTATTTCGTTGCCTACCACTGAAATAAATCCTTATAAAGTTGTAATTTGTTTTCAGCTTTTAAAAATTAAAAAAATCCCTTATAAAATGATGACATAAGTTGTTTTTTTTTATTAATATTTGTCATTTAGTCTTTTTATTTATACAAGCGTAAATATATCAAAAGTTGTTTTTTTTTTTAATCATTAGACACATGTAGATAAGTTAAAACAAAATCTGTTGGAGAGAGTGATAACTGATGTACTTTTGGGGTTTTGATAAAGTTCCAAGTGTCACTTGATTTCCTCCCGTAAATTGTTAAAGAAAACTTTTTTGTTGTTTTTTACCCAAATATTTTTTTTTTAAAAATTAACTTATCTGTTATTTATATTGAGTTTTGTGCTGCAGTGAAATATTTTGGTGTAGCTGAGGGAGAGGATATACGTTTTGCTGTTGTTGTTGTTGCCTGCTGAGAGTAGCTATGGTCATGGTTGTACATTATGGTATACCAAACAAGTGGACTCGTAGATTGTTTGTGGCTCTGGAAAGAAAAATAGGAAAAAAAAAAAAAACGTATAGATTAAAGTTTCTCTTTCTTGAAGTTCAAATTTTACATTTCATTTATCAAGGATACAAGTACCTCATTTTATAGAATGTCATAACTGCAACCTGTTTATTCAATATATTTTTGTATGTTTGGAATTTTGCATAAAATAAATTATACCTAATGGATCTATTTTTAATCTGACATTCTTCTTACTTCAAATCTTATTATAGTGGATAGTCTATTTCAAATATCAGCTATAACAATGGCTCTCAAACATTATTACCCAATGCACCCTTTGTACCATCAGTCAGAATTCCATTCCACCCTTTCCAAGACTGTCCAACTCAAAAGGTGCATTCCAAGTAATATGCATATATTATTGAAAATCTCCATTCTTTCTTTTCAATTATTAGTATGTATACATTTACATGGACTATTTTTATAGAGGAGTTTTGCAAATTTAATAACAATAGATAATGTTGCTGGACTTTTAAACTTGAATACATGTACAGTAATTTGCTTTAATTCATAGCTAATTATTAAATATATAAACTGAAGCATACTTCAATGCAGAAAAAGTTCAATAGTATTGTAATTCAATAAACAAAAACATGTAAATAAAAAACAAGAAAAAGTAAAAGATTCCATCTTTGGGGGAAAATTTTTTTAATAACTTCACCCCAAGGAAGGCAATAAAACCACTAAGATGCAAGGGAATACTGAATGCGAAAGAATATGAGAAAAAGAAAAACAGGAATTAAGAAGACAGAAGATAATTATTGATGTTGAATTTAAATTTTTGAAGATCAAAGTTGACTGGAAAGTAAGAAGCCGGAAGAGAGTTCTACAAGTGAGAAATGCAAGAGAAGAAACTGGTAGCAAAGAACTTTCAGTTACATCAAGCATTTATTAGCTGTAAAATGATGAGACCTAGCTGCCAATCTAGTACTGTGCTTAAATTTATATCACATTTGTCAAACAGACAAGAGTGGGGATGGGGAAGGTTTGTCATTATTATCTGTTCTAACTTTAACTTATCCAGTTACAACCACCCACACATACATTCAATAATCCATTCACCATCAAATTCTTTCTTACTATACTTACAACAATCACCATAATCCTGCAATTTGTCAATGAATTCCTATTTAGTCTCGATACATACAACTTGATGTGGTGATTAAAAATAACAACTTTTAAAAATTTAACCCCATCTAGTTGTATCTATACTCTAAAATATTAAACTATCTTTGGAAAATATAAACCATTATTTTCATATTTTTTTAATGTATTGAGTTGGCCAAAGTGTTTGTTCAGTTTATTAAGTAAATTAATAAGCGAACAAACTTTTTGGCCAGCCCAATACATAAAATATTTTAGAATGTATGGACTGTTATTACAATTATTTTACAAGTGAACACCTTTTCTCATAACAGTAATAATTTCTAGGATAGCTGACAGGTGCTACACTCTGCTCAGTTTTAAAATAGTACTATGGCATGTCACTCTTTTTCATTACTTATTTGAGAATCTCCCATAAAAGACAAACATGACATTAGTTGTATTTTGTTATATAATGCTCAAAAAGTTGTTAACAACTCCTTTGATGCATTCATACCCAGAAATAAAATGAACCAGAACTGAGGTTCAAATATACTAAGATAGCAGTGTTAAGTGGAAAAATGCAAAGAAAAACAAATACGTGTGATAAATTACTGAAAAGTTCTTTCTCTTCTTGTTCCCTTTAATTCCTGGAGTTTCTCACTGTCCCAATCACACCACTTAGCATTTCTACTTGGCCATAAGCTTGTGATCTTCTTTGTGGCTTTTCTAACATTGGCAAACAAAATAACTTTCTAACTGATTCTGGGGATTACCATTTGCTTGAGTGTCAGATCAAAGAGAACTGCACAAAGTTGAATTTAAAACTATTTGCTCAAAGGCAATACTCTCCTTTGTCATTTGTTTATTTTGCTTCAAAAGCCTTTTGCACAAAACCTTTTATTGTTTTCCTACACCTTTAAATAATGGTGCTGTTTTGATTAGACTCAAATGCAATTAAACAATGCAGTATTGTGAGAATCCTGGGATGAGTGTCATTGTTCATCAGATCGAGACATGTGATGGGAGAAACAAACTTAATTTGAATTAAATACTCGAAGTGGGTTTAGCAAGTCTGCTACCTTCCCCTATCTTTTTTTATCCTATGAGGGTTAAGTTTCCTAGCCTTCTTTCCTTATTATATGTCAAAGAAATTTCAGCTCTCTGAGTGTTCTTTCAATTACCATTTTCTTTAAGACTTCCTTATTGCTTACTCACTCCATGTATGGAATTCTTGGTATCATTCTGAAGAACCATGAGAGATTGCTGAAAAGTTTTTGGCCCAACTCAATTCTCAAAATTTGATCCGACATTAGATTTTTTGAATGGTTTCTTGGATGGGCAGAGAACTTTTCAGCATCATAGATATATGTCAACCTTTATATATTGGGTTGGTCAAAAAATTTGTTTGGTTTATTAAGTAAATTTCCTACTTAATAATTGAACAAACTTTTTGGCCAATCCAATAAAAAATTTTAATATTCAGTCCTTAAAATTAAAATGGAATAACAACATCGCTGAGTGCACTAGAAGACCATTCACAGGAACTCAGACATTGGCACACAGCCAGGGCATCTGGAGGGAGCTGGTCAAGTGTTCCACTGTGCAGCAACCCTACGACCACACCCATAATCTATAAACCCATATATATATATCACTAGCAGCATGGCCTGGCGTTGCCTGTGCTTGATTCAAAAATCGTACGACTCATACAGCAATTGCTATCACTCGACTTAAATATTTTTGCTCTTCCTTGCCTTTAAAGGAGCGCCCTTTGCCGTGCTGATGTTGTTACATGCCTTACTACTTGCCTATCTCACACTGCAAATTTTTTCTAAGCTCTATACTAAACATTAAATCTGTTACGGAAAAAAGAACTAAACAAAATGAACACAAAACGATCAGCTTTAAAAAAGGACTCGTAACTGGAAAAAACGAATGAAAAAAGAATGTTAACAACAAATACTTTTTCAGACTCAACCCATTTCTGCAGAATCAGAATCAACGTTGAGTTTAAGCAAGCAAATGAGCCAATTGGAGTAAAGTGCCATGCAGATTTAAATTTTTCCCACTTGTGACAAATGCAGATATCAATTTTTTGCATGCCAGTTAACCTTCGTGTAAGTCAGCTGTTGGCTCTCACGCTGGCCAATAGAATCTTCCTGCCTATTTGTGGCAGCCAGTAGAAAATGGCCACAAACTACATGAAAACTGCTGTAGAAGCATGAAAAAATTGATTATTTCCACTATCGATGGGAGTTGGGAAATGCAAAGTCAGTTTTGGTCTTCCCGCTAACTTGGAGCATGTGCATGTAGATTTTGGTGCAAATCTGTCAAAAATTGCGGCTGTGCATTCGTTACACACACACACACACACACACACACACACACACACACACACACACACACACACACACATCCTGCCTTTTATAGATAGAGATTGATATTTCCTAAGCTTAGCTCAGTATAAATATATATCACTAATATACTTACATATATGTTATCACTTGTTCAGTGTGCTGACTAATTTCAGTATATAAGTAGTGAATATATCCAATTGTTGAATTGTGTATTTACTATATGAGGATTTTGAGCAGTAGACTTAGAAACCCTAAGTGAATCACATATTGCTAAGCCACTTTGCTTTCCTTTGTATTGAGAGCATTAAAGCTTGTGAACAAGAAATATGAAGTAAATGACAAGTTATTTGTTTCTCTAATAGGTAAGCCTTCATACTAACCTCCTCCCAGAAACATTTGTGAAAATTCATTCATGAATCTATTACAATTTTTATAAAGACCTATCAAAATTTAAAAGAATTATAAATGTAAAGATCTAAAAATAACTGCATTGACACAAAAGAAAAAATATGTATTTATGCTTTTAATATATATATATATATATATATATATATATATATAGGCAACCAGCTTAGGAGAAGGACAACTCTGAATCCCAACTTCTCTCTGGGTGGCCCCATGCCTTGGGTACCTTTTGCGACTTACTCAACCCAGACCTCAAGTGGAACTCATATATATGATCCATCACTAAAGCTGCTTGATAAATGGTTGGTTACCTGTACTGCTCCAGTAAGTACCTAACACCTCCTGCTATCCTCTACCTTTACAAGAGCCAGATCAGTCCTAAAATGGGGCACTGCTGTCATATATGGGCAGGGACTGCCCCAGTCTTCACTTTCCAGTCTCAGTTTCCATGAAAAGTCTTCAGACGAACTACATTCCTTCATGGTTAAGAACCACCATTCTATACACATTCTAGCACACCACCCTCATTCCCTTTGTATTCCATTATGGATGGGGTGGGGTAAATTCCATTCAAGTAGCTTCTTCCCACAAACCACTTCTTCCCCAATCATTACACTCTTAACCTGTTCAAGTCTAAGGTCTTCCCCATATATCCCCATAAACTGTGCCTCTTAATTTGTAACCCTCTACCTCAAGTGGCTCCTGGGCCTTGTATAGAGTAAACATCACTGTAAAAAAAAAAAATAAATAAATTTAAAATAAAATAAAAAATAAAACTTAGTAAAAACCTAATTGCTACTGAAGCCACAGAAGTCAAGCCTAGCATGGCCATACTCCGAAGTTAGAGAACAGATTCAAGTTCTTTTGGTCTTGAAATTTTTTTTTTTCATTTTGCATTGGCTGAATATCCTTTGATGCATTTATTAATATGCAAAGTTTCTACTAGAAACAGGACATGCACTTTTAATTATATTGAGAGATAACCCCAAGCCTGAAAAAATAATAGGATAAAAAAATCCATTTTTACTGCCGTTTTTTTTAATAAAATAAACACTTACCACTTTTTTAATTTTATTTATTCATATGTATATATAAAAATATAAATTTAAAAAGATTAAGTGAGAATTATGTGTATGTGTGTTTTTTTTTAATTTTTATATTTCAATTATTATTGTTTTTTGGTGGGTCCTTTTTTTTTTTTAACTTTTTTTTCGGTATCGTTTTTGTCTAAGAAGAGATTGGATTTTTTTTTTCATGGAGAAATGACAACCACAAAAAATAAGTACGAAAAACGCATTTAATTTTATTCCATGTTTTTTTTTTTTTCGGATATAGGGGAATTTGATTTTACGAAAAATATCAGCTTCTTTTTTTTTTTAACGAAAGGATGAGATGAATGTCATTTAATTAAAAATACAATAAAAATAAAATGGAATGGAAAAAATTCAAGTAGTAGTCTGCTTGCTGCTGCAATTTTTTATTTTGTAATTTGTGCCTTTTTTTTTCTCTTGTTTTTGTTTTCTAAAGTATGTAAAAAAAAATATAAATACATAAAAATATCTTTATATTTACTTTTTTTTTTTTACACTCGGTTAGAAAAAATCCGACTTTTTTTAAATACTAAAAATAAAATAAATAAATCAGGAAATTTTTTCCAAGTTTCTCAAATTGATGGAACCTAGTATAATTGATTATATTTTTTTTTTCTCGATCCCGACATTTCTTTCTTTTATAGGTTTCAAATTCAAAAGTGAATATTTTCATATTTAAACTAAAAATCGTAAACACGGAGAAAAGTGAAGCAACTTTCTATACTTTTGAAAAGCTTAAAAAAAATAAAAATAAAATTTAAAAACGCATGATGGAACTCCGCCGGAGTTATAAATGAAATAAAATAAATTAAGAAAGGTTTTTTTTGTTGTTGTTTTTTAGTTTAGTTTTTTTTTTTCTTTTTTTTTTTGCTTTGGCAAGTAATGAAGGATGGATAAACAGAGAGAGAGAGAAAACGAATTCATTTCATTTCACATGTGTCCATTTAAAAATGGTTTGTGGATAAACTTCTTTTTATGTGTGAAGGGTGCTAAACCGGCCAGATCATTCTTTCTTTCCCCAATTGTTGTTGCGATTATTATTGCTGTTGTTGTTGTTGATTGTGGCTGTAGTAGTAGTGGATATGTAGCACTTACCTTTTTTATGCATGTGTCAGTTGGTGGGGGTCGTGCAGAAAAAGCTTGGGGAAACGACAAGCAGCAGCAGCAGGGAACCACTGGCCAAAGACCAAGGGAGATAATCAAATAAACATATTTTCTGGGGCTTTATGCAGGAGAGAACTTGTTCCCCACCACCAAACAGTCCTTCTCGATTTAAGAAAGTCATTTTGTGAGAATTAAAGAACGAAACGAGAATAATGTCAACCTGATGACTTATCCTGATATAAGCACTAGCTAAACTTGTTTTCATACCAAACCTTTTCAAAAATAGTTTTATTTTATCAATTATTTTAAGATTGATAAAGATTGATTGATAAAGAAAGATTGATTATTTTAAGATTAATTAATGTGAAAATAAATTTTTATAAATTTCCACTATATAAGTTAAAAAAAATATTAATTTCTTTGTTATTAATTTTTAATCATCCCACTCCAAGCAAGGCAATAAAGCCACTAAGACACAAGGGGGTTACTGAGTGTAATATAAGAAGAAGAAAAATCATTATTAAGGAGAGAGGACAATAAAAAAAAAATAGGAATTAAGAAAACAGATGATAAAAATTTACATTGTATTTAAATTTCTAAAGATCAAAGTTGGCTGGGAAGCAAGAAGTCAGAAGAGTTCCACAAGCAAGAAGTGTGATAAAAGAAACTGTTAGCATAGAACTTAAGGTTACATTGAACCATTTCAACTGTACATTGGTGAGACCTTGCTGTCAATCTAGACCTGCACTTAAATCCATAAAGTCTAGATTTTATAGAAGAAAATTAACCAGACCAATTACCATGTAAGTACTTATAAGAATTAAGAAGACAGAAGATAGCAATTGATATTGCATTTAAATTTTTGAAGATCAAAGTTGACTGGGAAGCAAGAAGCCAGAAGAGAGTATTACTCACAAAAAGTGAAGTGCAATAGCAGAAAGTATTAGCATAGTTACACGGTTACATCTAACCAGTTGATCTGTAAATTGATGGAACCTTGATTGATATTTCCTAAGCTTAGCTCAGTATAAATATATATCACTGATATACTTACATATATGTTATTATCATTTGTTCAGTGTGCTGACTAATTTCAGTATATAAGTAGTTAAAATATATCTTGTTGTAGAAATATTATCCTTTAATCAAATCCATGGTTATCTCCATTTAATCCACCCTCTTTTTTTTATTTTTAAATGTACTTTTTATCACATAAAATTTGGTGATGTGCGTGCAAATTTTCATCCCGAAAATATGTCCCAGAGAAAAGAACGTTGGGAACCACTTAAATTTATAAAGTCTAGGTACCATCGATGAAAGTTCATCAGGACAATTGCCATGAAAATATTTATAGAAAATGCACAGGGAAATTTCGTTATGGCACTGGGAAAGTAACTGAAGGCAAGATGTCTGGTCTGGACCAATAGCAATTTAAAGGCTAGTTAAAATATATCTTGTTTCCTGGCAGTTAGGAATTCAACCCTAGTGCAAAAAAGTAACATTTTCTACTTCAGTGGAAGAAACAAACAAGTGACACAAAGGTGAATTAACTTAGTGATTTCAAAACGATAGAGCATGCCTCATAGGTGTGACTGAAGAGGATAACAGTTGACAGAGAATGATTGAAAGGTAATCAAAGATTTAGAAACAGTTTTAAAAAAAATCATATACCAAAAATAAATATGAATTCAAAATTTAAAATTATATTATCACTTATAATTGCATGCATGAGTCCCAGTATAAATAGTTATAAATAATTATTGACTGATTTTATCATTGTGATATTTTCGCATTATATCAAGCATTAAGAATATAGTAACCAGAGTCTGCAAATTGAAGGAGAGAGTTATCAATAATAATGTTCTGACTTCAAATCCATGGTTATCTCTATTTAACCCACCCTCTTTTTTTATTTTTAAATGTACTTTTTATCACATAAAATTTGGTGAGGTGCATGCAAATTTTCATCCTGAAAATATGTCTCAGAGAACCACTGAATTAACTGAAATATTATCCACAAAATGTGGAGTTATACAATAGGCACTGTAACCTGAAATAATCCTTTTTCTCAATTTTTTTTCACATATTACTATAGATTAAACACCCTAAACACCCCCAAAATGTTTTCTTTTATTAAATATTATAAAAGGTAGTAGAGGTTCAGTTTTGCTATGTAAATCCATTGTAAATTGATCTTTGTACATTTTTGTTTTCATTTTACAGTGAGGTTCACTCTGTACAAGGCCCAAGGGCCACTTCAGGTAGAGTGTGTTACAAAATAAGAGACAGAGTTTATGTTGATAGGTAATAAAGATAGCAGTTAATCCTAGACTTGAACAGGTTAAGATTGTAATGATCATGGAAACATTCTCTTGGTAGTCAGTTCCACAGAGCAGCAGTCTGTGGGAAGAAGCTGCTCAAGTAGAACTTATTTCTCAATAATTGAATACGGCGGGAATGAGGGAGGTTCACTACAATGCATGTGGCATGGAGGGTCCTAGCTATGAAGAAAAAGAATTGCTATCTTCTGTCTTCTTCTCTAGATTTGGATGGAAATCAGGTGGAAATCAAGGAATGCAGTTCACTTTTGATGGAAGTTGTGATAGAGAAGTAAAAGGTTTGCCACATCCCACCTTTAAGAGATAAGGGTTGCTGAGTGGATAATAATTTGTCACCCCCAAGGACATGGAGACACTTTTGGAGTCTGCTGAGATTGGAAAGTGAGGACTGGGAAACTCCTGCTCAAATATAAAAGAAGTAGTTCATTTTAGGCCTGATCTGGCACTTGTAAAGTTAGAGGACAGCATAAGGAGTCTGGCACATATTGGAGTTGTTCAGGGAACCAACCTATTTTCCTGGATCTCTAGCTAGGAATCAGATGTACAAGTTCCACTTAAGGGGTTAGTTTTCATGTAATAACAATCATCAGGAGTTCCAGCTTATATTTTTACTAATTTTGTGTGTGTGTGTGTGTATATATATATATATATATATATATAGTAATAATCTTACAAATATGAAAAATTATACTCATCCGGAAAACCTTAGGTACTTTGATATATAAATAAACAAACCAATACCCAAGAGAAAAAAAAGGTACAAAAAAAAAGAGACAGAGAACATGTATGTCAGCCGAAGACAGTTTTCTAGCAGCCAAGTTCAGAGTCCAAAGGAAAAAACCCTGATACGAGTAGGTAAAATACTAAGTAAAGTGCTCAATATGCTAAGTAGAGCAAACCTAATTAAACCTAAAGAGCCAGATAAACCTGTTACGGTTTTTTGGGCATATAATGTACATAACTAGTGAGCGAGTCAGAATGACTTATTTCCCTTTATAATCGACCAATGGAAGGTTGACCAATCAGAAGCCGCCTAACACTGTATTCGTCGTGTATAAAGGCGGCCATCTTGTTTCGTCTACCAGAAGGACCAAAGGTGATCAGGAGAAGGATGAACTACACTCTGCTGTGATATCCACTGCGAACCTTCACTACGCGTTCCCACTGTCTCCGAAATATTCACTGCCAACCCTTGGATGCAATACTCAAGGACGACCGTCATGGAAATGTCTAACAAAACCTACCAAGGTTTCACCTACATGGATCATCAGGGAATACTAACGATCTGATAGCTGAAACCTTGGTAGGTTTATCTGGCTTTTTAGGTTTAATATATATATATATATATATATATATATATATATATATATATAGATAGATAGATAGATAGGGAAAGAGAGAGAGGATGTGCAGGTAAGTGTATGATATCAGTATCAGCATGGAAAGAGGAATCAAAAAGTTCAGATTCCAGGTTAGTCTCATACATTCACTTTTGCACTAATGACCTTGGAAAAGTTATGAATCTATCTCTTCCCCCCGCCAGAGATGGGTTAAATAGCAAGGTAGACTGATCTCTCTAGATTTGGATGGAAACCAGTTTGAGAGAAGGAAAAACACTGAATACCAAACTATGGAGAAGGCAATGAGAAACCACTTCAATATTTTTCCAAAGAATATCTGATAATTCATAGCAAAAGAAGCAATAGCCATGATTTATTCGGATAGTCATGATCATCTCTGTCCTTAAAGGACATCATATTTAATATATATATATATTTAACATCATATTTCATATATATATATATATATATATATATATATATATATATCCCAGCTTGAAGCAATCAGGTGTCTAGCCACACTGAAGAGCTATGATACAGCGAAACATTCTATCTGTGGATGACAATATATATGCTCCTGGGAAATCTGGTTGAGCTCTCAAGAGAAAGTGGGTTTTAAAAAGAATGGCTTCTACTGCTATTAATACATTACTCTTCAAGTATGAATTGAGTTTTCCGGGCCACTAGCATATTTTGCATAGAAAAACATTAAAATTTCCCTTCCTCTCTGCCATGCGATGATAGCCTAGGGCCAGGATTTTTGACTGATGTCAAATCAGTCGGGTTTCAATCTCGGCTTGAAGCAATCGGATGTCTAACTACACTGAAGGGCTGTGATACAGTGAAACAGTCTGTGGATGACAATATGTTAGTCTTATTAGGAAAGGAGACTTGCTTCTTCATTTTTGATCAGAAATCAGGATATTGCCAAGTGTCTTTAAAAGATGCAGAATAAAGAGCCATGTGAAATTGTATCAATTCAGGGTAATACCATTCGAGTTAGTTGGAATCATTTTCTTTAACTTCCCTGATTTGGTTTTCTGGAGAGATCCAAAGAAACACCTTTGGTTTTTGTAGACAGAAGGAACATGGGTTAAAATTAAACTTACTAAAATGTCGGTTCTCCTAAGAGGAAACCAAATATTTAGGATTCATTGTAAACTAGAATATAATGAAATCAAATACAGTTGAAGGGATGCAGAAGGCAGTTATCTCCCTTTTTACAGTAGAAATTTACTAATGTTCTGTGAGTAACAGTAACATGACAGCTTGAGAGTGATGACAGTTCATAGGTGATAAGAGTGCAGTTACCTGTGAGCTCCCAACAGAAACAAATGTAGTAACCGTTGGTGACTCAGTGAATGAGTGAATGACATGAATGTTAAATAAGGTTATAAAAATATCATCCCAGCTGGCTATGTTGCTCTTAGAAACATTACAAGTAAAGCCTTCTTTATATTTATCCTTTTATATATTGCTTGCATTTTTCATATGTGTTTTTTTAATTTCTCTCTGCAGGATAAACTGTTATATATATATATATATATATATATATATATATATATATATATATATATGTATGTATAATGTAGCCTCCTGACAAGTGAACAGTCGATTACTAAAGGGTTCATCACTAAAACTCCAGAGTCGAGATGCTGAATATAACATCAATCAGCTAAGTGACATATATATATATATATATATATATATATATATATATATATATATATATATATATATATGTGAATATGTGTGTGTGTGTGTATATATATATATATATATATATATATAATAAAAGAGAGAGAACAGTAAGATATATAATCCGGTGTTCTTATTAATTATTTTTATTTTTACAAAACAGTGCTCAACACAAATCTACAGAGCATAAATATTATAAATTTACTAATTTAAAATATGGTTCCATCACTACACAGGAATTACCATGTTTCAAAAACAGAAACTAAAAACTTCAGATTCAGTTATAGAATTAAATTAAAGTCCCTAGTCATGTTTTATTTTCAAGCGAATTTAGGAATAACTTATTTTGAAATTTACTGGGTTTTATAAGCACATACATTCATAATATCAGTTTCTGAGAATATGGGAAAATCCAATCATTTTAACAAGGGGTGGTAGGGTATTCATTTTCACTGACAACTATTATATCAAATTATGAGTTACTTTCGAAAAGAGGTTAAATCAAGGTAGGATGGGGTGCCTTTTCCAACAAATGATGACATTCATTCAATGCATATGTGTGTGTGTGTGTGTGAATAACATTGTATGTCATATTTTTGTATTCTAGCGCTGTATATAAAATGAAATGTTTTCAGCCATAACTCATTTTTAATTTATTTGAATTATTTTAGTGCTTCATTCTGTTGTGTTAGGGTGTTATGATATAAGAGATATACTAATGCTTAATGTGAGCCTTGGAAAGTGCAGAAAACCAAGATATTTCTTGCTTTCCATGCAACTTTATTACAGTTAAAATGAAAGTAATTAAAACTATCTAAGAACCTTGTATTGCGAGGTCAGGGAGTTTAATAGTGCCATTGGATATTACAGGAGTTTTATACATACATTATTGACACTCTTCTCATAAATTTAACAAAAATGTTTATTTGGACTAAAGATTGTCAAAATTCCTTCAATGTAATGAAGAAACAACTAATAGCAATGAATTTCTCGACTTAACCAGACACCGAAGTCGGTCATTGACCTTATATGCAGATGAAGAATGACATGAGCCATAAATAATTTCCATTTTTGTTTATCAACTCTAAGTACAATTACATTTCATTCAATTATATATTCACCGTTACTTGCAATGACTTATTGCTACTTATCAGGCAGCTCTTGGACATTTTTTGAGTAAAATTCAGCAGGTTTTTATGTAAAAATGTATTTGATGAACTCTTGTTTTTCCTATCAAATGGTTTTGTAGCAACCAAAAAAGGTAATAATCAGTTGGTGCAAGATTAGATCAATATTACAAACGAAATGAACCATATTCCAAAATGTTCAACTTTTATGGATAGAAGTGATTTTTGTTTTAAATATCACCTCAAACAAAGCAAAAAAGCCACAAGGAGTTAGTGAATGTGAAAGAGTTAAGAAAACTGAGGAATGTTTGCTGAGGATTTGTTTTTGTTTTGTTTGTTTTTTTGGGTTTTGTTTTACGGCATATCAACCTCAATGGGTTATTTAATGCCGGCAACTTTTTTCCTGGTAATATTTTGTTTTGTCAAAAATCTATTTCTGGTAATATTTTTTTCCTCAAACATGTATAGCTAGTAATATTATTTTCAAAAACATATAACTATTAATATTTTTTTTCAAAAATATATTGCTGGTAATAGTTTTTTTTTCTTCAAAAATCTATTTCTGTTAATAATTTTTTACAAAGTATTTCTAGTATTAAAACTTATTTTTACACTTTTATAATGCTTTTTACCTCAGTTTCAGGGTTAACTATTTGCCCATAGCTGGGACCCTAACAGATGCTACCATCCCAGGTCAGGGTGGACCTGGGAACACCAGCAATTAAGAGGTGGTTCCACGCTCCTCAAAACCTCCTTATCAGAGGCCTTGCTGTTGGACGTAGTTTATCATCTTACTCTGGACGCGGATGTAGTTTATTGTCATACCCAGGACAGGTTTACTGAGGAGAAAGGGCAATAAAACATATAGGATTCAAAGAGACAGAAGATGATGATTGATGTTGTATTTAAATTTTTGTAGACAAGAAGGCAACAACCTGGAAGAGAGTTCTGTGAGTGAGAAATGTGAGAGAGATTGAAGATGTTTTTAAAATTCTCAAGGGTGACAAAGTGACATGATTCTTATCTGTTTCCCTGCTTCTAAATAGAATATTTAGGTAATAAAGATAAAATAGATAGGTATGAACTATCATGAACATCACTGGAAAGATAGACAAAATGAAATAACTTGCTCACTAAACAGATAGATAAACAGAATGAAATTAATAGATAAAGAGACAAGAACTAAAGTTGATATAAACAAACTTAGATAGGTAGACAGATATAAAACAAACTTAGAGGGACAAATAGAGAGAGAGAGTAAAATCAATAGATATAAACAGACTTAGATAGACACTAAATAGACACATAGATAAAAAGAGAGACTAAGATAGAGAGATAGATAGATAGACAGGAATAGATAGATATGAATAGATAGATAAATATGAAGAGACTTAGATAGATAGATATGAATAGACTTAGATAGATATGAATAGACTTAGATAGATAGATAGATAGATAGATATGAATAGACTGAGATAGATAGATATGAATAGACTGAGATATGAACAGACTGAGATAGATAGATAGATAGATAGATAGATAGATAGATAGATAGATATGAATAGACTGAGATAGATATGAATAGACTGGGATAGATATGAATAGACTGGGATAGATAGATATGAATAGACTGAGATAGATAGATATGAATAGACTAAGATAGATAGATAGATATGAATAGACTGATAGATAGATATGAATAGACTGAGATAGATAGATAGATAGATAGATAGATAGATAGATAGATAGATAGATATGAATATATATATATGAATAGATAGATAGATAGACTGAGATAGATAAACACCTCTTCTGATAAGTCCATAAACTATAGAAGCATTTCATTTGTCACTATTTCACATGGCAATCTCTCTTAATTTCTCTACTCAATAAACTGAAAAAGATGGCCACGACTGACACTGGGCTTCTTGAGGAAGCTCCAAGTGCATTTGTTCTACACTCTGAACCTGGACATTGCCACATTAAAGGCTAAGTACTCTGATTACTGGTCTGTTGATTTCCAGAGATGGCTGGGTGAGACGAACCCCAATATATTAGTCTGAGTCATAAATAATTTCCTTTTCTGGAAATTGTAATGACACATGTATAATCCTAGCTTCTAATCATATGTGGCAGGTAAGACTAAATATGGAATATCCTAACATACCTTAGTTTTGGCACAGCAATGGCAGCATACAGCCAAACCATTTCTCAAAAATCTGATCAAATAAAGAAATGTCAGATTTTTTTGTCAGTTCTTGTCCCCATAAATAAGGCAAACAAAAATAATAAAAATCTAAAAAGAATAAAAATGATGATTCTCTAAGTTAGTACTGGGGAGAGAACCTCCGAGGTCTGGCACTCAGATTATTTTGAGCAGCCCCCCCAACCCCGGTCAGAAAAGAAGATGCTGGAACAAACAAACTCGATCTAGCATATCTTACTAGACTTTTTAAAGAGTTTGTCTTACTTGGCAGCCCTTGCAATTGGGTGTCATTTGGCACAAGAATCAGACTTTGAGGAACTCATTGCACATTTTGCTTCAATGAAAGTTCCAAAAATCCACTTTTAGACTGCCTTGGAACTGATTTTAGTCTTTTTCAATAAAATACTGATTCATAATTTTGCCAACATATCCACCCCCCTCCAACCCCTAAAGCTATTTTCTTGAGGCCCCTTAGGTTTCGAAGCCTGGCACATTTGTTGCAGCTGCCCTCCCTCTCCTCACCACTGATCTAAGTTTAAAGACATATCTAGAATCCACATTATATCACTGACCTTTTCATCCTTCTTTTTCTTTTATATCCTTTTGTGGGTGATCATGGCTCTCTACAACTTCCTATCCTTCATAACTCTTAGTAATATTTGTCTTTTTACTATCTCTCCCAGCCTCTTGCTTCCCATCCATTTACACAAACGTGTTTGGGTTGGTTATGCAATGTTCCCTGCTGCCACTCTTAACTTCAGTATATTAAATTCTCTAAGCCTTCTTTCCTTATTATATATTAATAATCTGTAATTTCTTATGAGGGGAAAAAGAAAGAAGGCATTCAACAGAGAGACCTAGATATTGATTACAGATTAAACCTTTCAGATTAAGTTTTTAATGCCATTGTTTTTACAGTATTACATTCTCCCTAAAACCAGATCTTCTGATTCATGCTACTCTGATTTCCACCACTGGCTGGATGTAAATGCTCCGAACACCCAAAACTGAACTAAAATTCCGTCAACTGTGCAAATCTCCGCACATACCTTCAATTTTTACTTACACGCTCAAAGAAAAAATAAACACTGCAATTCAGAATTTCCACCCAATAGCACCCACTCCTGTATAAAGAAACAAAATAAAAACTGGAGCCGATTTGAGCCTAGGAAAGTGTTTAAAAGCCCATGAAAAGAACATTTTCAAAAGTTGGATGGCATCTTGGGCCAGGTTCACAGACTTCATCAGAAAGCGACTTCCTATCTCAGAGACAGCTCGCCAAAGGTCATAATACCAGTAAGTCACAAATCATCCTCCCTCTCCTGCTGTATGCCTCAATGGACACCTTTTACAACTTCCTTTATCTTGTTTTTCAATGAGATAAATCTAGACTGATTTATCATTTGTTGTATTTTGCATTGATACAATTGTTTATTTCTTTATACCTTTGGTGTTTCTTCTTTGTTCTGCCACAATACACTTATCATAACAACAGGTACAAAAATTCCAACTTACATAAGTGAAGAAAGAGATTCAAGAAAGTGGAAATCTGCAATAGGCAATGGAAAATACCAATGTCACACAACCAGTACAACAAAGCATATTGCTTACAGAGTTTATAAAAAGATAGCCAAGAGATTATATCATATCATTAGCAATTAGTATTATTAACAGGTCAGCAATTGTGTAAATAACAAGCCCACAATGAAAATACACAATGTCCAATGTCAAGTAAGACTTCAATGAGTCACTACTAACTTCTCTCTCTTTTTTCGTTATCTTTGTAGCTTGGTACATGCCAGATCATATATATCAATGTTAAGCCTATCTATCTATCTATCTATCTATCTATCTATCTATCTATCTATCTATCTATCTATCTATCTATCTATATTATGTATGTATATATATATATAATTTCATGGCCAAGCAATCTAAAGAACACCTGACTCAAATATGGTTTCCCCAATATAAGAGAGATACAAGTTCAGACAGTGTTGAAAAGCACTTTTTCTTATTTCTTTATTAAGACTTTCAATCAAATGTTCATTGATTACTGTTTAAACATATATATATATATATATATATATATATATATATATATATGTATGTATGTATATATTTATATGTATGTATGTATGTATGTATATATATATTTATATATAGTATGTATGTATATATTATATATATGTATGTATGTATGTATGTATATATTTATATATGTATGTATGTATATATTTATATATATGTATGTATGTATGTATGTGTATATATATATATATATGTATGTATGTATGTATGTATGTATGTATGTATGTATGTATGTATGTATGTATATATTTATATATATGTATGTATATATTTATATATATGTATGTATGTATGTATATATTTTATATATATGTATGTATGTATACATTTATATATATGTATGTATGTATGTATGTATGTATATATATTTATATATATATATATGTATATATATGTATGTATATATTTATATATGTATGTATATATATGTATATATATATATATATATATGTATATATATGTATATATATATATGTATGTATATATATATATATATGTATGTATATATATATATATATATATGTATATATGTATGTATATATATATATATATATATATATATATATATATATATGTATATATATATATATATATATATATATATATATATATATATATATATATATATATATATATATGTATATATATATATATATATGTATATATGTATATATATATATATATATATATATATATATATATATATATATATATATATATATATATATATGTATATATATATATATATATATATATATATATATATATATATATACGTATATATATGTATGTATATATATATATATATATATATATATATATATATATATATATATATATATATATATATATATATATATATATATATATATATATATATATATATATATATATATATATATATATATATATATATGTATATATATATATATATACAGGGGTTGGACAAAAAGGAACAGTTGCAAAATCCACTCCTATATTTCAAAGACCTATTATATTAAGAACTTTAACTAAAACTTCGTAATTGAAAGTTATACCTATTGTAAATACGTTTATTTATCTAATTTACTGTCTTTGTCTTATGTATTGTTAAAATCAAGTAAAATTTAAGCGAACTGTGTGACCTCTCTGATTTTGAAAATGATTAAATTGTTGGAGCTTGCATGGCAGGAGCCTTGATCACTAAGGTTGTTGAACTGTTTGGTTTTTCAAGAGCTACCATATCAAGAACACTGATGCAATTTGAGAAGCAGGGCAAGGCCTCTAACAACCATAGCAATTCGGGCCAGACTTGCAAACTTACTGACAGGGACTGATGTGCATTGAAATACAATGTGGCAAAAAATCATCGGACAAATGCAGCCAAAGTGACTGCTGAGTTGTATAACCATCTGAATAGTTCAGTTTCTACTAAAACTGTTCACTGTGAGCTCCATAAGGCTGCATATCATGGAAGAGCCACTGTGAGGAAACCTCTTCTCTCCACTCGTAACATTCGAAAGAGGTTGAAGTGGTGCAGAGATCACAATGCCTGGTCTGCAGACCAATGGAAGCAAATCATATTCTCAAACAAGTCCAGTTTTTCCCTTTTCCCAAATTCAGGGTGAGTTTATGTGTGGAGGCAGCCCAAAGAAGCTTACAACCCTGACTGCCTTCTTCCAACAGTGAAGTGTGTTGGAAGAAAGAAATTCGGATTACCAACACACAAACAGAGAATGTCTCATATCGAGAATATTTAACATTGAACATAAGGAAAAAATTAATTATTTTAATAATATGTGGAAATCTCGCTTTTACCGAAGATGATCATGAGACCAGAAACGTGTCGTAAAATTATGTAAAACAAAGCATAATATTTTTTTCTAAATAAATCCACATTACAACCAAAAACGTTTTTGACACCTCTCTTCTTCTTCTTTTAATATACATACTTTTCTCTCGTTGGAACCACCACATATTTCTTTTATATATATATATATATATATATATATATATATATATATATATATTATATATATATATATATATATATATATATATATATATATATATATATATGTATATATATATATATATATATATATATATATATATATATATATATATATATATATATATATATATATGTATATATATATATATATATATATATATATATATATATATATATATATATATATATATATATATATATATATGTGTGTGTGTGTGTGTGTGTGTGTGTGCTCAGGCGATGAACAATTCTCAGGCTGACAAAAAACCTTAAAAAAGATGTGACATTTCTTTAGTTGCTCAGATTTTGAGAAATGGGTTGGCAGATAACTTTTCATCGCCATCTTATATATGTGTGTCTGTGTGTCTGTGTGTGAGAGAGTAAAAATTGAATAGACTACTACCCATGCAGATATGGGAGAGTGGTTTTTCTGAGTACACACTCACTCACTCTTTTCCCAACCTTTGTGGCATGCTAGTGGCAATACATTTAGCTAGGAACCTGGCAATAGGAGGTAGCACAGGGTAAATTGAATTCATGCCTTATCTGCTTTTGTTTTCCATTATTACACCATCCATACACAAGGAGAGAGGCCTTTTAAAATATCAGTTTTATGAGAAATTCTGCGATAGATAGATAGAGTCTGAATTTGAAGTAAGATATGAGAATTAATCGACGAAGTCATAGACAGAGTACGCAAGAAATATGTATTTTTATCATTTTATTCCAATCGTGTTTGTTAACCAACAGTTGTGTGTTAGTGTTCGTCTGCAATATGCATTTTGTTTTTGTAGTTAAAAACCTATCTGAAAATACAATTCTTTAAATAAAAAATAACGATGAATAAAAAATTAAATTTGCATCCATTTAAGTTTGAAAGGTATTATTAATTAAAAAATTAAATTTGCATCTATGGAATTTTGAAAGGTAGGTAATTGAAGAAATATTTTTGAAACAGTTATTTTCACGATGACAATTCTGTCGTATCACTTGAATAACATTATAGATGCAAAACGCGTCACTAATGACATATGTAATAATAATCAATTCTTTTCCTCACTCACCCCCTATCTTTCATTCCCCACCTCACCTGTCTTTTTAACATCGGTAAAAAAAAAATAAAGGTACTGGACATGTATACAGGTGGAACTTTAAATCAAATAACACCGGTTTTCTCATAGTAAATAAATTATCTTGTCTGTCTGTCTCTATTGTAGTATTGTTTCTAACGACCGAGTCTAGAGTGGGAAAGAAAAGGTCTCCTCCACAATAACCCCTGAACAAACACAGGACACAGCAAGATACCCTGTGGATCTTTTTAATAATTTCACATCCCAAATTCAGCTTACAGCCTCATCTTCTTTCCTCTGTTCATTTTTTTTTCTGACCCACCCTTAACAGGGATGACCATGCCTCTGATTTGGTCATCTTGTGCCGGACTGTCCGGCTGGATTGTTCAGGAAAAGACTCACAAAAATAAGACGAGGAATCGAGTCTATAGTGAGTGGGAGCCGGCAACATTTGTTGTTACTGTAATAATATTAATGATGATTATAATATTGATAATAAAAAGAATTCAAGATGATGAAGATGGAGATGAAGAAGTTGTTGTTGTTAGAAACATCGGCGGCATCATTATTAGAAGTTGGTTTTAATTTCAAGAAAGCCTACAAGAGTTGAGGGAGAGACAAAAACAGAACAGAAAACTCAACAACTTGAACAACAAACTAAGGAATCCAGACGATTGCCAATTAAGTCAAAACAAAAGAAAAGAAAAAAAGAAAAAAGAAAGAAACGTAGGAAAAAATATAGACTTCATCATCATCACCCATCATCATCATCATTTACCAGCAGCAGTAGTATCGTTAATAATAACATAAACAAACAGTAAACAATAATTATTAAAATTAATAATATTTATCAATGGCATAATCTAATTATTAAAAACAAGTATTATTACTGTTTTTTTTTTTTTTACTTTGACCACAAACCAAAGATTTAGTTAAAAAGAAAGTCACGTGTGTGCGAAGTAAATTGAATCAAATGAATTGATGAATATTTTTTACGTTTTCGAAATATCAGCAAAGAAGATTGTTTAAAAAAAAAGAAAAAAAAACTTTTCAACTCAACTAAACAAAACAAAACCATAAGGAATATAATGCACCCAACTCGTCTAATTGAGAAATAAAAGAAAACTCCTGAACTAAAAAGGCTGGGTTCGAACCAAGAACCACCAGCAACAGGGGTTTTAGAAAATGTTTATGGCATTCAGCAAAACAGCTTTAATTTAAAATTTTCAAAAAGCTCCATTTAACGCAAGACATCGGCTTTTTTTCCTCAAGGTCGGGTGAAAAATCTTATGAAGTATAGTGTGAGTGTAATTTAATTAGTTATTTAATTATTTTAATGCCCAATTTTCTGTTTAGTGTTAAAAAAGATTTTCTTAGAGAACCTAAAATAAGTGAAGACTTTTCCTTTCAGTTTAAAAAAAAAAAAAAAATGAATGAAAAAGTCAATTTTATAATTTTATTGTTTTAATTTGTAAAGAAAAAAAATCCTCCGTTGTAGTTTTTAAAATTTTTAACATTTTTCTCTTTATTGTGTAAACTTTCTTCACTCAGTAAAAGGGGAAAAAAAAGCAACTTTTTTTTTTAATTATAAATAATTTTAAATTTTCTCATTTCTTGGCTCTCTTTGAATGTTTCAACAAAAAAAAAAAAAAACAATAACATCATTACTTTAGATTAGAATTCTGTCTTGTCAAATGAATGTATTAAAAAAAATGCACTCAAAACTCGATTGTCTTTTTTTGT